GCCACAAGCGCCCAGGGGCTACTTGGCAGGCACCTCAGAGGGCTATGTGCCACGTGGTGCCACTGAGGCCCGGCGGCAGCTGCCCGGCCCTGGCTTTGCCTTTGGGCCCCCCGACACGGTCACGCACGCGGAGCCACCCATCGAAGGGCGCAGGGCGCTGGACAAGGTGGCCAGCGCCTTCCAGCCCATCGGCGCCCTGGACAAGGTGCCCCGCGGCACTGAAAGACACCTGGAGACATTTGCCATGGCGGAGCCGGCCTATGGTTTGGACTTGTGGTCTGTGGCACGGGAGCGGGACCTGCCGTGCCCGGAGAAGAGGAAGATGAGCCTGGCCCTCTGGGAGAGCACCCGGGGGGCTCCTGGCGTCCCCCCGGCAGCTCCGATCCCCATAGCCAACAGTCCAGTCTGCCAGGCGGGCAAGGGAGAGGCCCCCAGAGTCAAGGAGGTAGCCAGGGAGCTGGGCGCCTCTCCTCAGCTCGCGTCTCCGGAGGGCAGGCGGAACGACCTGCAAGATGGCGGCGAGGCGGCCCCCTTGTCCCCACCCATGCCGGTTATCAACAACGTCTTCAGCTTGGCCCCTTATCGAGACTACCTGGAAGGACCTGCCGAGGTCCCCTTCACCAAGGACCATGAGAAGGCAGAGAGCTTGTGCCGAAACGCGGGGAGCAGCCCGGGAAGCAAGGACTCTTCCAGGGCTCTGCCAGAGCCGGGTGTCCCCGCGACATCCCATGTGCTGCCTGCTGGGAGCAGCGTGGGCCAGAGCTGCACATCCATGGATGGTGAAGGAGGACCTTGTTCCAGAAGAGCCCCTGAAAGCCACAACCCAAAGCTTCTGCCCCACGACTGCTTGGCGAAAAGCGGCCCCTCACCTCAGGATGGCAGTGCTGGGGAGTCAGCGCCCAACGAGGCTGTCCTGGACCTCAGCTTGAAAAAGAGACTAGCGAGAGCAGGGGAACCCCCGGGCCCTGCTGGCCATGTGATGGAGACGTCTAAAGGAGAGGATGCAGCAGGACACGAAAAGGAGCCACCCAGGAAGGCGGAGGTGGGCGAGGGCGCCAAGGCTCAGCCATTGCCACAGCTGGTAGAGGTTGGCTCTGGGGACAAGAGCAATTTCCAGAGCTCGGCCACCTTCATGTTCAAAAAATACAAGATCCTGAAGTCCCTCCCGCCTGGTGCTGTGCCCCCGCGCCCGGCAGCTGGAGCCCCGGCTGCAGCTCCATCAGGCAACGTCCCCGCGCCACCAAGTCCATGTGCATCCCAGCAGCTCCATGCCAAGCCCCGGCCCAGCAGCTCCGTCCTGCAGGTGACCTGCCTCAACCTGCAGCTCCCCGACATTTCAAAACCGCTGCTGCCTGGCACGCCAGAAGCGCCACGCGCGCCCGGAGAGGACAACGTCTCGTTGCCCAGTCTCTGTGAACCCCCTGCCCAGCCAAGTCCATGTGCATCCCCGCAGCCCCGTGCCCAGCCCTGGCCCAGCAGCTCCGTCCTGCAGGTGACCTGCCTCAACCTGCAGCTCCCCGACATTTCAAAGCCGCTGCTGCCTGGCACGCCAGAAGCGCCACGCGCGCCCGGAGAGGACAACGTCTCGTTGCCCAGTCTCTGTGAACCCCCTGCCCAGCAGACCTCTGCCTGCCAGTATTTCACTGCCTTGCACGCGTCCCTCTGCAATGTTATCTCGTGTTCCGTGTCCGGGTCCTCCCCAGAGCTGCTCCAGGAGTGGCTGAGGAGGACAGAGCCCGAGGAGGAGCTCAGAGAGATGCCCAAATCTCCCCCCAAACCCAAGAACGGTTCCAGGCTTTCCGAGCCCCAGAAGCCCACCAAAGGCAAGGAGATTTGGCTGGCTTTCAAGGATGTGGCTGCTCTCCTCAGCAAGCTGCTGTCTCAGCTGGAGACCTTCATGTTCACTCGCAAGTGCCCCTTCCCCCACGTGGTTCGGGCAGGTGCCATCTTCATCCCCATCCACGTGGTGAAGGAGAAGCTCTTCCCCAAGCTCCCCGGGGCTTCTGTGGACCAAGTGTTGCAGGAGCACAAGGTGGAGTTGCGCCCGACCACCCTCTCGGAAGAGAAGCTTTTGAGGGACCTGGAGCTCAAGAGCTGCACTTCCCGCATGCTGAAGCTCCCCCTAACATCTCCCCAGACCTGCGGACCCTCCACTGGCATGACTCTGTCAAGCAGCAGCTTGGTAGGTAGCTCAGCTTCTCAAGTCCTTCCCCAACCTTGAGATCTTGCTGTCCATGGGGATGCTACTGCTCCTTGGGAGGCAGCTACCCACTGCCAAAACCCAGCATTCCCCATGTGGAGCTAATGACCAGAGATGCCCAAAATAACACCAGTATTCCAGGCAAGGGATTAGTAATGAAATAAATCCGGTGCTTTGTTCTTCCCTTCCCCTCTGCTTCTTGGTAGCTGACTGAGGTGAAGCAGTTGGGGATGTGTTTCCTTCCCGAGAGGTCCCACTGCCACAGTCCCCCTCTGACTCACTCAATGTCACAACCAGGTCTTTGTAACCCCCTTCTGCATTTCCATGGAAAAGATTCGAACCGGCAGTTCCTGAGTTGTGAAATTTCCTTCATGTGTTGGGCAGCCACTGCCGCTGGCCCTGGCTGGAGCCTGCTGCCCCTCACATACTGCAGCTCTGGCCGTGATGGGAGGCAAAGGAGAATAATTTATCACAGAAGAAAGGGGCTTTTTAAAAAATGTTTCTGTTCCTTTTCTTGCCAAAGTTGTCTTCCATGTGGCAGGGACACTGCAGAAAAACACCCCCCAGGCTTTAGGTGATCTCCCAGGTGCTTTCATGTGGCTACCAGATGCCCTACCAGACCTACCAGAAAGGAAAGGGCACTGAGCCCCGGCCAGGTGTCCTGGACAGGCGCTCCGACACCGTGAGACCTGCCAAGTCTCTGGTTGCTTTTGGAAAAGCCACTGCCTCAGGCAGGAGCGGATCCAGACCAGCAGCGTGGCAGCGGCTCCCGGGCATGCTCGCGGATGCCTTGCTGCACCTATTCCGGGAAAAGCTCCGGCTGCATCTGCCTCCCAGATGCCGGCAGGCGAGTGTGTAACTTCTTGGCACAGGAGCTTTTGCGGTCTCGCACGTTGGCAGGGGGAAAGCCCATACCAGGAATCCAGAGCATGGCCAGGAAACGCCTGCAGGAGTGAAGGGGCCCCGGCTGCCACGGGACCATCCTGCGCGGTGCAGCAGTTGGGGAGCGTGGGGCTGTGGAGCTGCTGCCGTCGGAAGCAGAAGTCCTAGAGCAGGCGGAACTTGGGGAACACGCTGGGGGCTCAGGACAGCCACCAGTAACTTCATTTCTTGCAGGTTCAGGCTCGCAGGCTGACCAGCACGCCTCCAAGTAGGTAACTGTTCTTCATGTTTGCAAAAAGATATTTATATATGTCTCTATACGTGGCGGGAGGGAGCGCGAGCCGCAGTGAGCTTGTGGTGCTTCAGTAGGACCTGTCCGGCTCTGCACACAGGGAGCTGGGGCTGTCCCTCTCTTCCTGCCAGCCATAGGGGTCTCCAAGGGAGTTTGGGGACCTATGTCCTGCCATCCCAGCCCCAGTTACGGACCACGGCATCACTGTGGAGCAGCAGCGTCCTCCCACTTGGCCCCCATAGTGGGGTGTGTGCAGCTGGAACAGGGGGACACGTGGCAGCGCAGAACTGATGTCCCTAACCTCATGCTCTCTCCTCCCTTAGATAGGGCTGACACGGAGACGCCAGGAGCCCATGGCAAAGCAGCAGCTGCGGGTGGCACCAGGGAAAAGGAGGTGCTGGGGACCATGCCGTGTGTCTGCTGATGTTCTCAGGCACAGGAAGAAGAAGCTGTCCGTTGCCTCCGGTGTGGGGTCTCATGGCAGGTCCCAAGACCATTTGCAGGGAGCCCTCAGGAACGGCTTTGGCGAGTGCCCAGGGACAGCACAGAAAGGGGCAGCACGTCCTGTCCACTCGGCTCCGAACACGCCAGCCCCGTAAACCTCCCGCTCCCCAAGCTGGCGAGCGCTGCAGACACCCGGCACCACGCTGAAGGGCAGGGGGATGGCCACTTCCAGTTACAGGGCTGATGTTTGTTGTTGTTTTAAATGAAGACATTTTAAAAATGTTATGGATTTGCCTTTATAAGGAGCTGCTGCCTTCAGGTTAAGTCTTTTTGTTTTTTTGTTTTAATAGTAATTTATACTTGTCTTTTGTTTATTTAAATTTATGGCTTCACCTTTTTGCTGTGCTGCACCAAGGTGGAGCGAGAGATGCTCATTCAGCTCAAGAGGTTCAGTCCTGTATCCCATCCGAGAGAGGCTTTTGTTTTTAAAATTCAGCGAGAGGCAAATGTTTTCAAAAGACTTACCACGCTAACAACCCCCACCCCCAGCTCTCCAAAATGTTACAGCGCAGAGTCTGGATGTTCTAAAAGAAACCTTGAGAGATGCCTGTTTGGTGGCGATCCTTTATACTTGACGAAGAAGCAGCAACCCGCGAGCGACCGGCCGTGCAGCAGCGAGGGGACCTGTCCCATCCCGCTGCGTTCCGGCCAGCCAGGAGCGGATGCACTTGCACTTGCACAGTCGGCCAAGCGCAGTCGGCTTCTGCCCACTGCAGCTCTACGGACCCGAGCAGAGGCCTTACAAACTCAGCACTCAGGTGTTTCCAGCTGTTGCAGGGAGTGGAGGAACAAGTTTTTTTTTTTTTTTTTTTTTTTTCCACTACAGGAAGTATTTATTTTAAGCTAAGAAAATGAAAAATAAACAAACAAGCCCCCCAAACCATACCATAGACTCGTCTTAGCCAACTTTTGTATTTTCCAACCCAGGGAGGCTGCTGCATTATTTAGCACAGGGGCCTTTTTGCTTCCCAGTGGGATGTGCTGAACACACAGGTGCCCGCTCTTCCTGCGCTCTCTTGCCCTGCAGAGCCTGCAGGTAGCATTGTACAGTGATTCGGAAAGCTGTGTTTGTTAATAATTATGATTTTAACTCCCCCAGAAGAAAGTTCCTTCACTTTATTTAAATATTTTGTAAGAATATGAGTTTTGAGAGGTGCCTCACCTAATTAAAGTGTTTTTTGGCTCCTTTTGGAACACCTTGCTCCAGGCTCTGCTTGCCAGTGTGATGGGGGGAAGGACTGGGATGAGGCCGGGCACTTTCCAGCACCCCAACCAAGTGGCACCAGCGCTGGGAACAGTCAGTGCCCACCAGGGTCTGCATCAACCCCCACAAATTGCTGAGGGCAAAAGCAGGGTGAGAAAACCCCGTGCTCAGGATGATCCCCCTCCTCCAGGTCTGCATCCCAAGTGATGGGTAACATTTCCCTTCCTTCCCGTCACAACAAGGTCTTATGGGGACAAATACCATGTTTTGAAGCACAGCCATGGTGCCTGGGGATATGCTGGTTTGCCAAGGCTTAATGAGGAGCTGAGGGAAGTGGGGGTCCCCAGGCAGCTGTGATGGGAATGGCATCACCTGGAGAGGTGGGAATGGGTGGGGGAGCTAACGGGGCTCAGCTGGGACCCTGCCTGCCTGGCCAGGTTGGGAAACGAGATAAAAGCACAGGGCTGGAGTTAGGGCTTGTGCTTTCTCCTCTGGTGCTACTAGGTAGGAACAGGCTGGTGGGCTGGGGGGAGGGTGCAGTGTGTTTTGTGCTGCTTGTATTACTGGGGTGCAGGAGGGGCTGTGGGGAAGCTGCCTTCGTGCTGGGGCAGAGGCTGAAAGGAGGAGGAAGAGCGACCTGGTGGTGGTGGCATCTCTTGCTTTTGCCTGGGAGGCTCTTTGAGCAAAGGTGAGTGCCCCAGGTCGGGGATGAGGTAGTGTCCAAGTGCAGGACTCATTTTGGGCCATTGAAACAGGAGCTTCCCTGAATCTTGGGAGATGCTGAGACTTAGCCCAAATGTTCCTGAGACTGGAAACTGTTACTTGGTGCAGCAGGAGCCCAGAGGCACCCTGACATGGGTACATCTCTCTGGCTCTCCCTGCTGCAGCAGTCACCCTCAGTAGGGTGTTCTGGGCTGTCAGTGCCCCAGCTCAGTGTGGGCCCAGTTTGAGGGTGCCCTGAGGACAGCAGGGGTGGCCAGACTAGCAGGCATCTCCTGGGGGACATCACCACATCCCAGTATGGGACTCTTGATGGACCTCAACCTGAGGCTTCTCCTGCAATTCTTCACAGCTGAGCCCTTGCCATGGGATCCCCTAAGCAGAGCCAGGGTGCAGGGCCACCAAACCCTGCAGATGCCACTGCCCTAGGGACCAAGATGCCACCCTGCAGCAAGAGGGAGGAGGATGTGCCTCGAGCTCTGTGTCCCACTGCTCATGTGGCTGCTGCTGCCGGTGCGCTGAGATGCAAAGCTCTCCTGGTGCTTGCTGTCTGCCTGTCTGTTACTGTGCTCCCATATGGCATGGGCTTGCTGGCTGCCCTGTCCCAGACTCTTCCTGCCTCCCCGCATCTTCCTCCGGCTTGGCCAGGCTCCAAGTTCTACCAGAGCAAGGTGAGTGACAACTCGGCAATAGCGTCTCAGGACCCACGCAGCTCTCCAGTGATGCAGCAACCTGAGACAGCCCTGGTGGGCTCTGCAGGCACCTTCCCAGGAGTCAAAGGAGACATGGGGACACTGACAGGTGACACTGCTGTTTTCACAACACCTCAGACCCTCCTGGCACTGCAGCACCGGGCCCTGACAGGGGAAGCACAGGGGTCTAGTGATGCAACCATTGCAGCGATGCTCTCCAAAGCCCTGGAATACGGTATAGAAATGCCTGTTAAGCTGTCTCCAGAGCTCCCCACCCATCCAGGGGCTGCCTCAACCATGGGTTGGTCACATCCTGACTCTCACTTGAGGCATGGTGCTGCTTTGGGAAGCTTACTTGGCAAGGGAGCAGGCCTGCACAGAGCCACACAGCTGCCTGTGGTGGCTGTGGCTTCTGCCCGCAGACACGAGCTCAGTTCACCTGTGGAGCCCATGAGAACAAGGCCAAGATCTTCCCTTCTCTTAAGCAGCAAGGTTGTCCCCAGCATCTCTCCAGAGCACATGTCACAGCTCCCATCCCGGATGCAGAGCCAAGGGAGGAGGTCCTGGGGCACTCTCTGGACTCTGAGGATGCCTCACCAGCAACATGCTATGGTGGAGAGCTCCACAGCTGCCTCAAGCAGGCAGCCCTGGGCCCTCACTCCCTCCATGACCTCTTCAGGGACTGAGGAGCAGCCTGCTGTGGATGCAGGGGCTGAGCTACCAGGAACAGTGTCAGCACAAGCGCCTGCACATGAAGTTGCTGGGAAGGCCCGTGTTCTGTCCAGTGTCCCACCAGGCACAGATT